TTTTTTTTAAACTGTACAAAAAAAAAGAAATAAATTACTGTAGGAAATAAAATTTTTTAAAAATTAATTTAATTTTGTTAAAAAAGATTTTTGAAAAAAAAGAAAATTGTGCGATATTAGATAGTTTTAGTATTCTTTTTCTTTTTTTTTTTCCTTTGCTCTTTTATTTTATCATTTTTTTTTTTACAATCTTTTCATGTAATTCATTTCGAATGATAGCACTTATCAATTGTCGTATTCGTATTTAACAACAACAAATGCATAACGCATCATCTAGAAAAGGCCCGACAATTTAGCTTTTTTTCCCTTTTTTCTTTCAACCATTTTATCAGTTCATCAAAAGTTCCAATATTTAAAAGGAAGTGGAATGAGAAATGGGTAATTCACAACCCATCTTCACATTAAGGTGAACAAATAAGTGGTAAAAATCGGCATATCAGAAGGAAATGTATGCAAAGGGCAAATTTTTGTGCAAAATGAAAATTATAAAAATAAAATAAAGGAAAATGGAATGAAATGAAATGAAGGGAAATGAAATGAAGTGAGGAAAAATAAAATGGAATGAAGAGAAATGGAATGAAATAAAGGGAAATGAAATGAAATGTAATGTAATGAAGCGAAGGGGAATGAAATGAAATGAAGAGAAATGGAATGAAATGAAATGTAATGAAACGAAAAGAAATGGAATGAAATGGAATGAAACGAAGGGAAATGGAATGAGATGAAATGTGATGAAATGAAGGGAAATGGAATGAAATGAAGAGAAATGGAATGAAATGAAATGTAATGAAACGAAGGGAAATGAAATGAAATGAAGATAAATGGAATGAAATGAAGAGAAATGGAATGAAATAAAGAGAAATGGAATGAAATAAAGAGAAATGGAATGGAATGAAAGGAAATGAAATGAAATGAAGGGAAATGGAATGAAATGAAAGGAAATGAAATGAATTGAAGGGAAATAAAATGAAATGAAAAGAAATGGAATGAAATGAAGGGAAATGGTATGAAATGACGAGCAATCGAACGAAATGAAGGCCAATGGGATCATATGGTGCGAAATGAAATTCTTTACGTTTGTATGTATGTATAAGTTCCCATATGAGTATAAATATATGTGTAAATATAAATATAAATATAAGCGTAAATATAAATATAAATACAAATATAAATATAAATATAAATATAAATATAAATATAAATA